GGCACGCAAGCGCGCGCGCGTCCATAGCCGGCGCGCACCCGTACCTGGCGCGCACCCGCGCGCGTCCGTACCCGGCCCGCACCCGCGCGCGTCCGTACCCGGCCCGCACCCGCGCGCGTCCACTGCCGGCACTGACAGACCATGACAGACGGGCGTGCTGCCGTCGGCGGTCCTGACAGATGGGCGGCGGGCCCGGCTCCCGCAGCTCCGGCAGCGGGCGGCAGCTCCGGTGACTGTTCCGGCAGCTCCGGCAGCGAGCGGCGTCTCCGGCAGCGCTCAGCAGCGGCGCCAAGCAGCAGCAGCGGCTGAGCCAACAGGCGGCCGCGGAGGCACGCCCCCCCCTTGCACATTGCTCGTCCATGGAGATGTCTGCAAGCACGCCCATTGTTGAGAAGGAACGTGCATCCATGGCTGAGCACTGAGCAGGCACGTGCGACCCCTTTGCACATTGTTCATCCATACATATCAATATAATTTACCTTATTGATTAGTGTGTCTTACAAAATCTTAAACTCAGAAATACCACAAGGCAGGCTGCCTGGGTGAGTTGCTAATATGAACATAATGAACATTATACATTAGTGCAGTACCAATAAGTATCCATGCTGTGTGAAGGACTTGGCCCTCACGTTCATTCGTTTGGTGATTGCACATGGTGGCATGTGTACCAATTGTTCTCCCTAACCCTTCTTACAACTTTGACTAGCAAGTAGAAGCTGGCAAAATGCAAGGAGCTTACAAAGTATGCTTATATGTAGATAACTGAGGATGATTCTCTCAATTGAAGCATGATCTGCACTCAACAGCTTCTTCTGTTCTGTTCCACAAACTAAAACTGAAATGCCTCAATTTTCCTCAAAATATATTTATTTATCACTCATAAACAACAAAAATATACATTAAGTAGGTACCAGGGCAATAAAAAACATACAAGTTACATATTTTTTCATGTACAGTCCTTTCACAGCAACAATATGTAGAAACGCACCAAGATGTTCACGGAGAGCCCACCCATAACAAACTATAGTTGAAGGCGGGGCTCTGCTGCAGCAGCACTAGCAGGGGAGACGTACAGGGCACAGAGGTCATGTCACAACATCATGTTGTAAGACCTGTTGTTCGAAAAACAGATCAACATAGATCTTGAAAAACTGTAGCGCCTTCTTCAGTCACTCAGGTAAGCTTTCTCGCAAGACGTTACATTAGATTCACCACTCTTGACAAAATAATCAGATTCAAACTTAGCTCTTGTGCCTGCAGCCTGATGCACTTACATTTCAATTTATTGAAATAAAACACTCAAAATTAACCTTGAAAATTGTTGCCATTTAAATGATATTAACATCAATATTTTGATGATCAGCAAACAAGCTATTCAAATCACACCCAAATAATAACTTTGGCAATGTTGATAACTCTTGCTGTCTTATTGAAAAGTAAATCTTCAATTTGTTAATATCCAAATCCAATGCCAAGCACTGAAATCTTGTTGCAAGGCCCTAAAAACAACAGACAAAAACAAAACAGACAAGGCCCGTCTTGTGGAAATCGCCAGTGCGGTGCGGCGGCCTTGGCGAAATTTCCCAAGGCTGCTCTTTGTTTACATTTTAGCGATGGGCCAACTTGGCCGCCCAAGTACTTGTTTTGCGTGAGTAAGTACAATTTTGTCAATTTTGAAACGGCTATATCTCGCAAATTTTGGTACCGATTTACATTTTATGCATATCTTTAGAATCGGCAGAGTCTGGGGAGTTCATTGATTGGAAATTTATGCCGATTCCTTTCAATTTTTAAACCCTGATAATCCCTTTAAAGGAAATAGTTCACTTTTAACATGGGGTTTGGAACTGGAATAGCAGTTTTGTTGCTTGCGCTGAGACTAGCACAAATCAGAAGCTTTTACGGCCCAACGATCACCCTAGACGAAGATATTCCATTTTTCGTTCCGAAAAGAGTGCCTTGCAGAGGAATGCGTGCCTTGCTGAGGAATGCAGTCACGTCATCGTCAGCCAATCAGAATGCTGCTTACAGCCGATGGGTTTGTCCTACGCAATATGATTGGTGAACGCGTAATAAGCTTCCGCGTCAAACATTATTATATATAGAATATAGTTCTTCTTATACTAAAATATAGAAAATAATCCTTTTTACAAAAACGTTTTGTTTTATTTTCTGATCATTTTGAGCATAAAAAAACATAAATCCATAGCAAAATACTAATTTCAGGAAAGTGAACTATTTCCTTTAACGCTGTTTACCCATTTTCGCATTCGGCTTCTGTTTTAATAAAAATTAAATTATTTCCTTAATGTAGCTATCACCAGATTAATTGCAAATTGCAAGGCCATCGGGCACAGGTGTGATATTCAGAAACCGTTCGCAACCACAATCCGTTGTAGAACCAGGAAGAAAAAGGTCTCTTTCGTGGTTTCTGACAGGAATATTCCTACTGCTGTTAAAAATTCACTTCTCGAGACGTGCCTCGTACTCGTGAATGTTCAGTGAGCTTCCTTCCGCGGGCCCGCGGCAGTCTCCCGTTCACCTTAATTACATAACAGCCCCGGACATTTGCTATCGTAGATCAAGTCCGTTGATCCTCCGCGAGGCCCACCTGCCACTCGACAGGGAGAGGCATTGGGCACGTACTCGAATACCCTCGAGTACAGTGCAGTTTGTGCACGAAGCTGCCGCGGCTCCGGCCCCCGCGGTGAAAACGACCAATCACGGGTCGACAGCCTGCTCTATCTACCGGCCGCGTTCACGGCGCGTTGGCCTCGAGGTCGACGGCGTCCCTTGACCGGCGTCGGTGAACGCTTCGTGCCGCCGCGGGCTGTCGCCGGGCCGACCTGATGTAATTCAGGCCACCGGGAAGGCCCGGGCCGGTCGGCAGCCTCGGACCGGCGCGTCGGGGACTCGGCCGAGCCGGCAGGATCGATGAACGCCGACGGCACCGGCGCACGCCGCCCCGGGGCCCGGCGACGGCTGGAGGGCGGCGCCGAGTGGGGTTCTCGGTACCTACGCCGACCGGCCGCGCTCCCCACTGCACGGCGGCCGAGTCGTGAGCCCTGGACTGGCTCAGGCTGTTAGCTCTGCTGCGTACCGGGGCGACAGCTGTCGCTCAACATACATACTCTGCACGCGTGAAGCTGGTTCGTGCCTGACATTTCGGTAATGTCCGGATTTAGCGCTCACCGCCGACCTCTGACGTGCCCCCGCACATTTTCGTGCTATATCGGTCGCCGCGACGCCCCTGCACAGGGACGCTGACGCGCTGTTCTGCGCTGCAATAACCGGCCGACCTACTGGACTACTATCTGAGCACTCATCACCTTTCCGACCGGGCGGTTTTAGCCGACGAGGAGCCTCGCCGTTGGACCACGCCCTTGGCGGTACGGGGGCTACAGGTGTTCGCTGGCAGCCAAAACAGCTCAATACCGGCGGGCCGGGCCGTCCGCGCGGAGAGGCGCCCGCCGCCGCCGGCCGTTATATAACTCTGACGGGCGCTTGCAGGGCCTCCCGGGAGGGCCTCTGGGACGACCGGGCGGCCGGGGCGGACCGTGCTGTCCCATAGCACACACCTCCGAGCTGTCCAGACGTGTGGACCGAGACAGGAGACTGGGGGCGGTCAGCTTCAGGCGACAGGGGTGTCTCACCCACCGTCATAGCAGTGCCGGGGCTGGCCACTGGCAAGTGTGACGCTCAAAATAAGCTTTTGCTTCCGCTTCCATGTTGGGCTGCTTTATGTTTCGGCATTTTTATTTGTTTATGTAATGGTCCTTAAAGACACTGATTAGCTGGACCGTTTCCACTGCATGTATAATTACTGCATTATAAATATAATCATGCAACCATTTCTGTGCACCTGTTTTTTGCTTTTTTGTCTTTTTATCACGTAACTATGATGCTTCAGAGATGGTGTGAATGAGTTTTTGGGAAAAATATTGGCCTTTTCCCGTCATTTCTCACGGCTTCGGCGCTTATGTTTCAAGCTATCCATTGTCAGGTTGTGTAATGTTCATGAAGACTTTTGGTTCTGCTCGAGAGCGAGATATGTTAGGTGAACAGAACATGATTGTGATTGATCTACTAACGATGAAAAGTGCGGTACCCAGTCTTCCGCCTTGAGCAGAGGACTAGACGCCATTCTTAGCTAAGTCATAGCTAACCGGAAACATATTACTCAGCTTCTCAGCTGAGTAAGTTCAGCTGGGTAGGTTCTCAGCTGCTTTTAGGCTGGGTTTACATTTCAAAAGATTTCGCGTCAGCTGATGCTTTTATCCACACATTCTATTAAATTTATGTCGAATGTCTGTTTTTAGAAAGTAACATCCGGATCGCAAATTCAAGGACCGTAGTGCGCACGTATGAGGTGTGCGCTGCCTGTTTGTCATTCATGCTTGTTTAACGCACTCAGACGGACAACAGTGCATTGCAAGGGATAAAGAGAAACGCATAGTTTGCTACAACTCTAGCTTCCAAGCACCATGCATACCGCCTTGTTCCTATCGGGAAGCAGTGAGCTGAAGTCTTTTGGAACTCAGTCCACGCTGAACACCCCAGCCGCTGCTATATTCTGCCCCACATTATGTAAGATGGTTATGTGATCTCCTCTTGCGTAACTGTGTGCTTGGTTGGAAAAGTACGGGAGCGTAAAATGTAAGGGGTTTGCTGCGTACTACTTAGTTTCCAATGCGATACTGCCAGTGAAGCTACGATCTACGATTATTGGCGAACGTAATGCGTCGCTCTGAACGGGTTCTGCAAAGGACAGCGCATCTGTCGTGCTAATGAGAGGTGCATTCTATACGTTGCATAAAACGTATCCTTACACATTGAAGACCCCCGGCCTAAAACTGCTGGTGACCCCTCTGTGAACTCGGTCCTCACTCGCCAGACCTTGCCTTTCCACCTTTCTCCCGACATTGATAGGAGTTTTGTTTCAGTTCAGCACCCCTCCCCGAATTTGACCCGACCCTGACCGAAGTTTTGTTTCGTTTCAGCACCTCAAGACCACATCACACTGAGTAACCGCAGCCATGCGCTCAACAAGCTGTCTCGGAATGCAGAGGCGCTGCGCGACGCGGAGGCGGCCATCCAGTTGCAGCCCTGCTGGGCGAAGGTGAGTTGGCGCCCGGATGGGCTGCGAGAGGCACGGGCTATGAAAGCCGACTGCGACTGTGGCCATGGATAGGCTTATGGTGGTATTTATACTAGGATGCCTCCCGGCCTTTGCGACATGGTAGTGCTGAAATCGAGTTCTTATAATAAGATTGTCTGTATCATGTGATGTCTTCTATTTGGCAAGAGATGGATTTCCTCTCATGTGACTTCAACAAACCCATGTGTTCAAATATTTGCATTACTAGTGAGATTTTAAAGGTGTCGAAACACTGCTTCACGCCCTAATGCCACTAATGAAAGCAACTGAGATGTGTAAAATGACTGGTGAAATGAGCCGTGAATATGGGTAAAGGTCACTTCCTCCGCTCATCACCATTCCGTGATATTGCTCCAGTTCTCGGCCGCCATTCCGGCTCAGGTCGTCAGTTTCCAGGGGACGTCCGTTACCAAGTCCTCGGGCGCCCCGACTAGCGCCCACGGCGACTGATTGCTCAGGAAATGGGACCCGCTGCAGCGAGTCAAATTGCTATGAGCGCCCATTCAGTAAATGGCTCCTTACTGGAGCAGAGGGCGTTTTATTAGTTTGCTGGCATTTGCGTTATGTAATTCTCGGGTAGGCGCAGACTGAGGTGGGCGGTAGGAGATGCCGCGAAGATTGTTTCAAAGCACCATGATAGTGGGCGGATGCACTACTGAAAATGACAGAATTGGCATGAGCCTGCTCAATTTATCCCATTTGAGGATGTGCGGCTCAGTGCCAGCCAGTCCTATAATCTCTTTGAAGTGTGCTAAAGTTGTGTGTCATTACTTTTATGTCATTTGGTTTGGTCAGCGTCCGTTTTCTGTACGAGATTCCTATGTCATGCGCGATATTTTTATTGCCAAAATAAGCGCCTGTCAGACAATTTTGTGCGTCACATTCTATATACACTAAGCATGAGATGACGACGATAACCACAGAACGAGACATTCCGGGTTTGCTGACTGCGCACTTTGTGCCTTGCTATTTTTTTTTTTTTAGCTCAGTCTGGGCATTGTCTGCTGTCTAGTCACTCGCGTGTATCATATGGGTGTGGAATGTCATATACTCATTGCTTTGTGGCACGAAACAACGCTGTTTCATCAATATTAAGCCTTGGTTACATTGGAAGTCATGCTTTGGCTTCATAGTGCCAGCGAATTCAGCTTTTGATAGTGAACAAAAAATTTCGTTTTGCTGCTCCGTTTTCATACATTCCTGCTTCCGGGCTGCAAGTTTTGGGAACACGTGATTCTAAAAAGATTGGGGAACTAATCAGAGAGACCATCGCCGTGACTGCCAGATACCCTGTGTGACGGTGGTGAAGTGTGAAAACTGGTGCGTTCGCGGTGGCTGGGCGTTAGCCTCGGCCGCCGGGGGCGGATGGGTGTCACCCGGACACGGGTGTGCCACGCCGCGCAGCGCTGTGGTCTGCCAGCTGCAGGGCGGCTGTGTCTGGCGACTGCGGACGACAGATGCGGTCCCGTATGGAGGGTGGGCGGGTTAGTGTCTGACGGCTGGGTGGAATGGTGTCTGGTGGACGGTGCGAGACAGCTGGGTGGGCCATGGCAGCTGGCTGAGTTACTGACTGACTGCTGGGCTGGACGTTCTCTGACACTGGGCGGACGTTACTCTGCCGTGCCGCTGTACTGACATCTACTGCTGTCTGTTCGACAGGGCTACTTTCGTCAGGCGGCGGCGCTCAACAGCCTGGGCCGGCTGGAGGACGCCCTGGTGGCCTACGTGCTGTGGGCGGCCCTGGAGCCCACCGCCGCGCTGGATGAGCTGCACCTGGTGAGAGTCCCTCCGCACTCTGCCTCCCCGCCCCTCCGCACTCTGCCTCCCCGCCCCTCCCCCTCTTCCTCGGCCCGCACCGTCTGCCGGCCGGAGCACCGTTCACCGCCCGCGCCGTCCGCTGCCGCCGGCGAAATTAGCGGCACGCGCAGACAGACGCTGCCGGCAGCGTCGTCTGAGCACCGCTGTACCGGAATAGAGCTGCCTTCATCGTACGCTAGTCGTACAACCGTTGCGGCAGTGAAATGGACATTTTTGGTAGTTTTATATAAGGGGTTTTATATAACTACGAAGTGGTGCAAGACATGTCTTTTGACTGCTGGGTGACAGCTTTCTTTTTTTCTTCTCAGTTACGATGCCCGATTTTGAAGGAACTTACAGATCTTGTACACTTTGCCTCCTGCGCTTCTTGCTTATTTTTCTTACCGTCTTACATTACATCAAATCGGTCGGATCTTTTGTCGACATGGCCCCTGCCGACACGAACCTAAAGTATGCCTGTCCCCTGCCATGCTGCGTCATTGCATTGCGCGGTTCGGTTACGTCACCAGGGGTACGCCGTTCGTTTTCTTTGTCTAGCCCCCACCGGCCCCCGCCTTCTGATTGGTCGATGCATTTTGTCAGCAGTAGTCAGCAGCTCACAGCAGAAGTGGTGAACAGAGCTCTGGGCTGCGACTGGTGACTGGTGCGGTCGCCTTCCACCCCACGCCGCCCCGAGCTCAGCACCCTCTAGATTTCTGCGCTGGCCCCCGCACCACCCAAGCGGGGTAGGCAAACGGGGCTCTGCCGCCCGACCCCCCCCCCCCTACATCACCCCTCTTTGTCTTGTAGAGTATCTCGCCCGCCTTACTACGCCCACGTCATTGGGCTCAGTTGTTAGTGCTTTTTACTACTTATTTATAGCCTCACTAAGATGTCCGGTAGGAGTTGTTTTATGTAGGCAGCTAGGCATGGACGTCGTAAGGAACCCTATTCCATAACTCCCAGTCACCTGTGGCCTCGCTCCGGTCTTATGCGCTACCTTGTGCAATGTGCAATGTGCACTGTGCGCTGTGCGCTGTGCAGCCTTGACACCGCGAACTTGTAAGGACACACTTTTTATGAAGCATTTTCCTTTCATTTATCAGTTGACGTATAATGCGTCTTAGGCACAAAAGCGTTAAACCGTTAGCGTTCTTTTCTGCTATCAATCACGCTTACAAACCATGTTAGGCTTACGTAAACACACTGGTCGACTGCGTTACGTATGGTGTTCTGTATTCAGCTTTCATCCACAATGATAAGTGACTTTTAGGATAGGTATTTTCCGTGGATAAGTTCATTTTCCAAGTCCCGCTACTGAGCAGTGTAGATTTTAAAACCAATGTCGTGTTATATTATTTGCCCATCACTAGGCCGTGGGTCGGTCTGACCTTATCCTCGGGATCCCAACGCTGCGGAATTCAGGGTTATGTAATCGAGCTTGGGTTCCGGCTGCGTCGGACATAGATCCCTGGATGCCTCGGGGGCCGCGCCCGATCTGGCCTCGCCCCCACTGACGCGACGAGCCGCCCGCGTCACCGTGCGATGACGTCAGACTGATGTGCTGCCGGGGTGTGACTGATGTTGGCCGCCGACATCGGAAGATGATCGTGCATTGAAAATGAGGCTGGTGTTCGTCTGATGGCAGTCTGATGTCACCGTTGCATCAGCTAGCGTGACCCCGATGGGACGTGACCTAACCGTCGCTTATCGTGTGCGTCATAGCATTCCACGGTCGTGAGCTGTGTCGGGGAATACGATATGACCTGGGCCTCGGTCTGCACTGTATGTGACATTCAGTGATTGGGACTAAAGCCTGACTTACAAGTTGCAACTGACGGCAACCTGCACGCTACTGTGACTAGGTTATAATTACCTGCCAAGTGCCCACAGTGCGGACTGTGATCTGATCGTGACCTGTGAGCCTGTGAGGATCCCTGTGAGCAGCTGTGGCAGTTTTTACAACGATGCCCGTCCTCAGTAATCACTGTGATCTGACCGCTAACTATTCACTGATTAGTTGGCCATCACCTGTGTCAGATGTCCTGCACCTGTGACTGTGGCCTGCCTTCATCTATAATCTGACATCCTCACAGCTGTGATCTCTCTCCTGTCCGCAGTTGCTGAAGCGGTTGCTGCGCCGACGCCATCCCTCCGAGGGTCGCGGCGGAAAGCGCTGTCGGCGTAGCTCCGATGCCGAGGAGCTACAACAGCACAGTGATGACAGCAACTCAAGCAACTGCAGCACGGTAAGAACCGAGAACTCACTGCAGTCCCGCCGGGCAGTCCCGCGCGCGTTCGGTGGCGCGCAGAGTCTTGATGTCATGTGTTCAGACTGGTGTTTGATTCATCTGTGATTGAATCGATTGGATTGAATCAAACAAAATTTGTTGAATCAAAAAGGTTTGATTCACCGTCAGGATTGTTTGATTCACAAGCCATGATTGAATCAAACGCATTGGGAATCAGGGTTGATTGAATAAAAAAAAAGATTCATGAACTTAAAAAAAAATTGTAGTGAATGATTCTCTGAATCAAAAGGAATCGATTCACCAAATTTTTTGAAAGAGTCAAACGGTGATTGAATCAAACAAAAATCAAATGAATCAATGATTGAATCGATCCAAAAAAGTTGAATCAAAAACCAGTCTGGATGTGTTGTTAATGAGGAACAATACCGACGTTCAAACCATTCAAAATTCCGGTGCTAACCCATGCGTAGTGAGGGTCAGATCTGCTGTATCGTGTGTCTGCATAATCCCACCACAAGAAACACAAAGTGGGTAGGGACTAGGGAGGGGCAGAACGAGCGGGACTTTCAGAGCTGCTGGTGTTACGGAATCCGAGCGGGGGCCTCAGCTCGTGCTGCACTGGCCGGCTCTCACGCCCTGCTGCATGGACCCCCGTCGGCGGAGCGCTGGTTGTACACCTGCTCATGGCGCTTATCGGCCCATCGGAGCTGGTGACACGGGTCAGCCGGACCGGGGGAACACGCCGTGTGACAGGGGAGGACAGAGGGCCGGATGTCGGAGGCCGGAGAGAGTGACGGGAGGAGGTTCCGGGGCAGGGACGACAGACGAACTTAGGGCAGTGCGGCCAGGCCAGGTGTTCCGAGGTATTTTCGTGTGTCCCCATGTGTTTTCATGAGGTGTATTAAAAGTGTTTTGCTATCGTTCTTGGAATGACATTCGGTTGCTGTGTGTCAACAGAGAATCGTGGTGTTGTGACGGCTGGTCCAATTTGTCGCCTGTAACTTCATGTTGACTGCAGATGTCATGCTTCATCCGCTCCAGAAAGAAACAGGGCGGGAAAGTCGGAGACATGCACGTCCACTGTGGAAAGGAGAGCTCCCACTGTCGTCCTTGTTAGTGTTGTTTATCACGGAAGCTGCCTCTAAGCAGACTATCACATGCATGTCACTGCTAAAGACGGGCTGAGTTTTGAGTCTGACTGACGCCTTTGTGCTATCGCTGAGGGCTCAACGACGGCTGATCGGGTTCCGATCCTTATTTGGCCGCATTGCTGGGACGCCGTTTAGACAAACGACGGACAGTATCAGACGCAGTGGACACCTGTCGTTGTCAGTCGTGTTGGCATGGATGGTCTCTGCATCGTGATGCCTTTCAATGTCATTCCTTCTGCTCTCTTGTGCCACTTAGCTATCAGCTTTTACCAGTCATGCTGGTGCTTCATATGCGCAAGTCGCAGTGGTTGGGTTTACTCTTGAGACATAGAACTGAGCCTTCCTTGAGTTCCTGCACTCACGAAACTTCATCAGCATGGACGGTGGCTGCAGGAATTGAAAAATAACCCAGTAGATGTAAGCACGCGCCGGTCTGAGTCGTATTAGCATGCCTACTCAGTGCTCACCGTGCCCAATTAGTACTCTGATATAAGGGTGAGTATCGTGTATCGCTAATAAATCTCTGACTGCAGCATATCGCGCAATTTTAGTTACGTAATCGTTCATTAGAAGTGCTCTTCCGTGGAGGCCCCTATTCTAGGAAAGCTTCATCTTGCTACTGCATCCATCTAACTAGTCGCAAATCATATGCATCTTACCCAAGTACCCGGATTTATTTTCTACAGACACGCTTAGCGGTTCATCTTCTGGTATAAAGTCCATCAGCAAATGACCAGCTGCAGTTATCCTTTCCAGGCCTCACAAGGGCGTTACTTAATCTAATTAGATCCTATTCATATCTCTCCTGAACTAGACGCATCACATTTTCGCGTCGCAAACCACCAGTTAGTAGCTTGGAACATGTGTGACGCACTGTTTAGCTACGTGATACTGATACTAGCAATGTTTGGACGGTCGGTACGGGTAAGGCTATCTCAGAATATGATAGTGGCGACTGGCGATACCCAGCTGATGTGCGTCTTATTTAGTATCTGTGTGCTGATGGAGCGGAGTTACAACCGGCTGGTTTTTCTGTGTCCGGCTGACTGGGCTAGTGGACCTGTTGCCGCACTTCCGACCGGGTCCATCTCACCTGCTCAACTGGTGGCTCTGTTTGGAGTTGGCATGCTGAAACGCTGCTGAGCTGAAACGCCACTCATGTCTCCTCTCTGTCTTTGTTTCGTCGGCGTGCCTAGCTGCTCAGTGATGACGCTGCCCTTACGATTTCCTGGAGTGCATCGGACCGTGATAATGTAAATGTGGGTAGCTTCTAAATACCCGGTCACGTCCGGCTTACGTGGACGCCAAATGCATCGTTATATAATGGTTGAGCCTTCCTATTTTATTTCTCTTCCTATCTTATGTAACGCGACATGCCTGATGCCGTTTCTCTTCATGAAACTTGGTTCATCGCTCTTCCGCGGAAGGCTTGCGGTTCTGGATGACTGCATCTTGGGAGCGCGACGCACGACCGTCGCTGGGTATAAATCTTTTTTAATGTTTTTGTGTGAAGACGGAAGAGGAAATGCGATCGTCCAATGCAATTTGACCCTCGTTTCGTTTCAAGTGGACAAGTTGTTGATGAGATGAAACGTGCTGGAACATTTTACATTATTTTTCTCTGTTGCAATTCCGAGAAAGCAATGTTTCAATTTCCTTTGTTCTCTCTGTACGCTTTTTGCTCGCACACAGCCGGATTGAAGCAGTTTGGGGCGGCCCGCGTGCAGGCCGCGTCTCTGAACTGTTTACCCGTACCCCGGGCGTTGTGCAGTGGGCCGGGCTGTTTTCGCCCGGTGCCGCGCACGCGTTATATAACGCTGCGCCGCCACCCGGTCGACCAGGGGCCGCCGCGCCGCCGCCCGGCCCCGGCGCAGCCGGCGTTACGTAACCACCAATCGGTGGCGCGACTGGCGGCCGCTGCATTACGTAAATAGGCACGGTCGTCACCTGCGACGCAGCTGCATCGGCGACATATGCTGCGGCGGCGGGCGCGCCGCCCATGGGTAACCCCCATGATAGCTATTATTGGCAGTGAAGCGCGTGGGGCTTCGCACGTAGCCGATGGGCAGATTCGTCACTGGGTGAGCCCCGTCTGGATGGTTCCAGACCTGTGAGTCGCGCTGAGCGGTCGGCCCGGGCTCTGAGACAGAGGCGGGGCTTGAGTCGGAGGCGGCGCCTCGCTGAAGGCGTGGGCTGCGGAGGCGCGAGGCTTTTCCGGCTGACCCCGGACTGGTGCTGTCGTCATCCGTTGGCATCTGGAGCCGGCCTGGCGCGATGGGCGGCCCCGTTGGCCGACCGACCCCAGCCAGCACCTTGGCAGACAGAGATTATACCGATCAATGCCATAACTCATGGAAGCCCGGTGAGGCCCGCGCGCAGAGGCGTGCGGAGCGAGTGCGGACTGCGGAGTCCCAGTGTCATCAGAACTGCGCGTTTCAACCCGCCCGACCAGGGGGCGGAGGCGTGCAGCGACGGTCGCAGCGCAGGGCCGTGGCGCAGCCAGCTTTTACGTGCTTCGGCGTCACCGGATTTACCCAGAAAACTCGAGTTGGCTGTATGGGTTTAGCGCTACTCCGCTGCGCGGTCGCTCCTGTACAGCCGTCTGTGCCGTGCATCATGATTCGGGTTACTAAAAATAGATTCCGGTTGGGTTGGTTTTCATGACCCTCGACTCAATGTCACATTCGACTCATTGTCGGCGTTTACGTGTTACGGATAAATCCAGGCGCGGCCTGCCTTTGAGGACAGGTGACAGTGCGTCGAATTCCGCGGAACTGCACCGGACGGTTATCGCTGTTAAAAGGATGTCGTGTCGGGGATTGGTGTACTGAGAACGGATCCGTCCGGTAAAAGCGAATCAGCGATGGTATATCATCTTGGTATCAGCAATTATATAACCAGTGGGAAAGTGACGAAGCATGAAGGTTGAAAGCTGTATGCCTCCCATAGATCAGCCACGAAACCGTTCTGTTTTCCTGCTGTAGCAGTCTCTTGTGCGCTGTTCTCTGTTCGTTTTTGGCCTTTTTTCTGGGCTGGTTCGCGGGCGGCCGACGCTGACGTCCCGGTTGACCAGTCACCACCCCGCCCGACCTCGCCCGGCTTCTGGAAGCCTCCTTTGAGTGGTGACTGCGCGCGGTACTTTAGCTGTGTGCGAGGCGTGTGACGAATGGCTCTTATATAACCACAGGCGTCTGATTGGTGTGCCGCGCACGGGAGTGAGCACGTGACCTGTGCCTGTGATCGCCTCCTCACGTGTCGACACGTGACTGTGCCGTGACCTGAGATTGACACCGGTCTGTGTCTCTTCACCAGGATGTGCCCACCACGCGGCCAGAGCCGACCCGGGTCGGCCTCTCCGCCGACCAGAAACTGCGCCGTATCGTCGAACGGTGCCACAGCGCGGCGGTAGCTCTGCGAGGTACGTACCCCACCCCCTCCTCTCCTCTCCTCTCCTCTCCCCTCCTCTCCTCTCCTCTCCCCTCCTCTCCTCTCCTCTCCTTTCCTCTCCTCTCCTCTCCTCTCCTCTCCTCTCCTCTCCTCTCCTCTCCTCTCCTCTCCTCTCCTCTCCTCTCCTCTCCTCTCCTCTCCTCTCCTCTCCTCTCCTCTCCTCTCCTCTCCTCTCCTTTTTACCCCTTTCTCTCCCTCCCTTCCCATCTCCCTTTCTTCTTGTACGCCCCAGTGCACGTACGCCCCTTCCGGCCCATCCTTCTGGTGCTTCGTTCTTCTGTGGCCTCGAGCTAGATTCCTGCGCTGCAATATGACGGTGACCCGCAAAAAGAGTCACCGGTCCAGCTGCGCTCGATGGGAAATGTCAAGGCCGACGGGACCCACAGCGATGACCTTGTGGGGATCTCACACAAATGCTGACAAGCGTGTTTTTAGGGGTTTCTCCCCGCTTGTTCCCTTTACATAAATGCGTTCAGCTCTGCCGTTCAACTCTTTGTTTATTGCCAGGACGGAAGAGGAAGGGGCATGAAGTCGATCTTGTTTGTCTGCTAAATAAGTTTCTTTTCTTGCAAGGTGTCGGTCGAACATACATTGAGTTGATTATTTGCTTTGTGTGCTAGAATGTGCCTAGTGCGTCTTTTTAAAGCGATTTTACCGAATTCTTGATGTTTTTTCCTAGTTTATCGCTGCGTTATTAGCTGCGAGAAGATGACGTGTATGTGCTATATTTGTGCCCAATGTTCGCTTTCACATCCTGGTGGCCGTATTTTTTTGCTACCGCCTTTGTTCATGCCCCTCTACCTAATCATAGGTCTAACCATAGTTACCAGGAGATCAGCCAGCTCCAGACATCTTACTTTGCGGACTCCCCCCCCCCCCCCGCTCATATACCACAATGTTCAGGTTTCAGCGATTATTGTAAGCCCACCCGGGGAAGCACCGTTTCCTTGGAAACGCAGACAACATGTGCCTTTACGTCCGGCGGCGCGACTGATATGCGTTCAGTGACAGTGCCAATATTGACGTACACTTGCACGAAACTTGTGACACGGACTGAGCCCGCGCTGGCAGGCTTGCAAGACCGGGGAGGGGGGGGGGGGTAGACATTACCGATCGGAATCATGGAACTGGGTGTGTGTCGGGGGGAGGCATGGTTACATCAGGTGTTTGATGAACTTGCGACATTGGCAGGGCTTTTATACTACTATGGAAACGGGGAAGTCAGGGTTTAATCTATGACGCAAGAAGACTGGGAAATACACATATGGTGCTGCAAGGGAACATCATATCTTAGACAGTTGGTGGTAGTTTTTACGTCTTAGATAAGATGCTTGCAGGAGTTCTGCGAGAACTGACGCGTTGACAGCTGAGTCAACTGACAGCGCGTGGTGTGGCTGTCACGGACGAGCGTCTGTCGCACCTGTCATATCTGTCACGTGTACACTGTGCCTGTCACTTTGTCCGTTAGCACGTCTATCGGTCCATCGCTTCTGTCTGTTTGTCACTAAGGTGTGTCGTTCAGTCAGTCTGCCACTTATGCCACTTTCTGTCTACCCGTCCGTCACTCTATCACATATGCCCTTCTCTGCCCACAGCGCGGCAGGGGAAGCAGTTTGTGCGTACGGTGGCGGACGGCGAGGCGCGCCGGGAGGATTTGGAGTGTTCGCTGTGCTTCCGTCTGCTGTGGCAGCCGGCCTCGACTCCGTGCGGTCACACCTTCTGTCGGCCGTGTATTGACCGGTGGCTGGACCATAGTCCCACCTGTCCACTCTGCAAGATGGCCCTGGACGAGGTGGGTGGCCAGTCGGCAGATAGGGACTCGGAGAGGGAGAGAGAGATCAGATAGGGCTGCTGGCTGCCCCCAGTGGAGTGTGCTGTGTCGGTAGTTCGTCCCCGCTCGGAGTTTGAATTTGTTCGATATTTCTTTTCAGTGGCGTGGGGCACCAAAAATAACACAATAAGGCAGCTGATGCGTATTTTGAACTCCCACTCGTAAAATTCCCACAAATACCTCCTAGAAATCCCAGCACAAGACATGCGCAAAAATAAATGCGCAATAATTGCTCGGTGCCTTCATTGAACCATAGACCTCTATGGTCTATGATTGAACATAATCGTATACCGTTTGGGCGTGATCGGCTTGCCAAGCAGCCGTTTGCCTGCTGTCCGTTGGAATGGTTTATGCATACAAGTACATCCGGCACTGGCAGGCTAATATTTACCCATTAAGGGACTCAGACAACCTCAGCTCCTCCTTACCAATGTGCCTTTCAACTATAAATGCTCCATGAATTTTGATTACGATCATCATCGCTCAGGTGTTGTATCAGTGGTAGAAGTTATGCTTATTCAACACGTCCCATTTATAATCTCCGGCTGTGCGACAAATCATCCTCTGCAACCAGCGTTCAAACTCAGACGCCTTGTTACAAAGAAGCGTTTTCAGAACCACGGATGCTTCCTGTTTCCGCATGCTGGCTCCACAACAGGAAGATGCATTTTCAACAAACATCTCACTTATCTCTCCTACCCTGTCCGCAGTCTAGTCCCGACCGTGTTAACCCTCGCCCTGGCAGGGGGGGGGGGGTCGATGCGACCCCCCCCCCTAAGGTTTTTCGAAGATAGCGTAAAAACGGCGGCGCGCAGCGCCGCCAAATTTGGCACAGCCTATGGGGCAACCTTTTTACATATGACCTGAAAATTTCAGGTCCGGGTGACCTTGGGTCAGGTCACCAGGTCAGAAAAACCGGTACAAGGTCATGGTCAAATTTCAATTTTCTTTTTGCACCTGTCCAACTCACAGTTTTGCACTGATTTCCTTCAAACTTTTAGGATGTGCTAAGTTCACCGAGTTGTATAACATATAGTTCGGGTTTTTTGAGGTCACTGACCTGAGGTCAGTTAGAGGTCATTACGTCGTAATGTTAAGCCTATGGGAAAATACTAAATTCGGAAAATACTGGAGATATCCGCTTCGTTCTATCACTTTTGTGCTTTGAAACCACAGTACTTAACAGCAGGTCACTTGGTGCTTCTTTGTTTGGTGTACTTATCCATGGGTCAGGTCAAATGAGGTCAACTGAGGTCAAATGACGTTTTTGCCAATAACTTGGCACATAATGACGCTAGAGCTTAAAAAATGGTATCATTGTGTTCCTGGTGATCAGCCGAATCAAATGATATGCGATATGATGCAATTTGGTTAACTTTAACTTAATTTATTAATTTAAGTTTACTTAAAATTTAAGAAAAACTTTAAGTACACTTAAGCACGCTAAAAAGTATATCATTCGACGCGCTTTGACGTGCTGAGTTCACTGGTGCTTTTCTTTTTGCTCTATCTTAATTAGATCAAAAGTTATAAGCGAAAAACTTTTGACCTGTTTTTAGCGAAATTTTTGCATTTATACCCCCCAAAACCCCCTTAAATATTGACCTAGAGCAACCAAATTTACACAGGGGCGAGAACTCCAGGGGGCCCACCTACCTACCAAATTTGGTGTTTCTAGGTGCCATAGGAGCCAATCGCGAGGGGGGGTCGCATCGACCCCCCCCCTGCCAGGCCGTGTTATGAAAAATGCCCTGCCAGGGCGAGGGTTAAACAAAGCGTGATTCACACCGCCGTCCGCATTTATGTTAAGCGGTCGGCAGTACTCTGTGAACCGTTGCATAAGTGAGACCGGCCGCGGTCGTGGTCGTCGGCCGTGGCGTGACCGGTTATGTAACGTACTCAGCGCGCTGCGCCGTGCGCTCGTCGCTATTCGCCACAGCTGCTCAGTATATTGTGGTAGCTGTGGGAATGTGGACGGCGTAATAGCGCAGCGGGCGTTTGGTGGTTAGGAGAGAGATTTGTGCCTGGAGACTGCTGAAGTTATCGTCCACTGTGACTGAAATTCAGCCCGGGCTGAAGTCAGTCCGCTGAGACTGACGCCATGTGTCGCGGGCCTCCCCAGTTTCTGGCCGACCGCGGCCGGGCCACCACGACGTTCCTGCAGCACGCCATGGAGACGTACCTGCCGGCGGCCACGGCCGAGCGACGGCGGACGCACGACGCCGAGCTGCTCGCCGACTCACTGGCCGGCCACGACCACCACCACGAGATCCCCATCTTCGTGTGCAACCTGGCCTTCCCGACGCTGCCGTGTCCCCTGCACGTGTTCGAGCCGCGCTACCGGCTGATGGTGCGCAGATGTATGGAGAGCGGCACCAGAGAGTTCGGCATGTGTCTGCCCAACGAGACCAGCACCGGAGGGTAAGTGAGGGAGGGGGAGGGGTAGTCTGTCTTCGGTGGCAGAGTGGGGGGGGGGGGCTGGGGAGGGGAGGGGCAGAGGGTACTGGGGACAGGAACCGGTCGGGGGGGGGGGGTGAGGAGGGGGGTGAGGGGGAGGGGACCTGTAACGACCGGGGGGGGGATGGGGGAGGTGGATTACTGGGGAGAGAGCGGGCCATTTGCCATGGAGATGAAAAGACGTAGTCCATCCGACACTACACCGTGTGCACTCTGTCAGGTGGTGATTATTAGACCGGTCGGCCCTTTGCTATCCATACTTCTGGTAAATAACTTTGTTAATATAACCGTCCACATTTTCCTGCATTTCCAAATGCGACATCTAAGTTTGTCGTGACTTATGTCCGTATTAGAATTTCATATACGGTCGTATCCTGATCTAGATAGAAGCAATATGTTCTAAGATGATGGATGCTGGCCATATGCTGTGTATCTTCTGAAGGCTATCACACACCAAATCAAAATTATGCTTGGTATGGTCAGTTCCACGCCGCTCATGCCGCTGGCAAATGTAAAGAGCATGCATATTTGTGAAATCACTTGTATAAACACAATGTCTGTTACTTTCAGTGATCATAAAGATGATTTATTTTTTACCATTACTGAAAGGAACATGCGGTTGGTTACTATCAGAGAGGTGATCGCACATATCCACCATACACGCTATTTGGCGTATTTGTATAATCCATGTGGTGATACGTGATTGAAAGACACCGCGAATGATTTATTCTTCGATTATGGATAATTTGGCTTGATTTATCATTTTTATGAAGCATGGCGCTAGGCCATCTGTTTTCTGCATTCAGTTTAGACATTCTTACATTTTTATGCATTTAAAATTGGCAAAAAAAGGTTGTAGGGCTGTGACAGTCAGCTGATTATTCACATGAGATTGGATTCGGGTCCATCATTTTATCCTTTTTCTCACATCCACTTACTCACATAACTCAGTAACACTTATCACGGTGTGACAGAAGCGCTCGTCTGACGAGTTTGCCCTGCGCCAGGATCGTCTCTCTGACGGCGTCCCCGGTCTGTGCCCGCGCCAGGTTCGTCGACATCGGCGTTATGCTGGAGATCCGGGACCTGCGCTACTTTCCCGACGGACGGTGCGTCGTCGACACCATCGGATCGCGCCGCTTCCGCTGTCTGGAGAAGGGACAGCGCGACGGCTACGCCACTGCCCGTGTCGAGTTCCTCACCGACCAGACGGTGCCGCCGGAGGGCATGCAAGGTCAGTGCAGGGGCGGCGTCAGGGGTGGGAGCGGGTGGGGCAGGGTCAGCACAGGGGCGGTGGAAGGGATGAGGGTGGGTGGGGGCTGGTACATCACAGAGGCGGTCTCAGGTGCGAGCTGGGGGGGAGGCAGGGTCAGCACAGGGGCGGTCTCAGGCGCGAGAGCCGTGGGGGCAGGGATAAGTGCAGAGGGATAAGCACTAAGCAGCGCTGACGTTAACCTGACTCTTTTTATACCTTGCTGTCGACAAAGTCTCGATAGCTGGATCAATAGGTAGGCTCGTCTCTGGGGTTCGTCAGTGATCCGCGGAACGGTGTCTCCCGGAACCACGACTACCCGGAATATGCGCGCACAATGAATACGCCGCACGCCTCTCAGTCAAACGCGAAGGATGCCGGATCTGTTAGTAATAACAGTCTACCGACGGTTGAGGAGAAATCCGGGTGCTCTGTCCTTACCTGATATCGGCTCATCTGTCCAATCGCCTGCCGAGCGATCGACCCGACGAAGCGTGTGGGTGTGTTATCATCACGGGAGGGACGCACGAGATGTTTACTCGTGCGTTCCAGTTCTGATTTTTCTTTGTGTTATGATCCTTTTCCGGTCCTTTGCGTCGTTATGAATGTTCGTGCCTTGCCTTACGATACATAACCTGTCGTATCACTCCTTGCCACTCTGTTCCCAATCGTGCCTTGCCTCTTGTGCCGCGCTATGCGTTCTTTTCACTAAAGATATCTGCCCATCCGCAGAGCTCCAAACGCTGCACGACAGCGTCCACGCGCAGGTGGAGCGTTGGTGGACGGAGCACTTCCGCGGCCAGCTGGAGAAGCGTGACCGGGTGATCCAGTTCTACGGGCCAATGCCGGCCGTGGAGACGAGCTACTGGACGCTGCCGTCCGGCCCCTCCTGGCTCTGGTGGGCGCTGGCCATCCTGCCCTTGCGCAGATCGGTGCAGGTGAGAAATAGGAGACTCGGGGGATGGGATTGATGCAGAGGGATGTCAGTGGGCGCTGCAGACACCGCTTAATTCGCACTGCAGCCCTTCCCAACGCCTGTATGTATGTACCTTTTCCGTCATGCAGTTTTGATACCATTATTTAGCAGAATCGGTATTTTTAGTTTCCGGAGAACAAAACAGCTGCTCAAGTATGCATGAATTCCTCTATGTTTTGCTTTCTCTTTCCTGTACTCAGGTGTCTTACTTGTATCCACATCCGAACACCTCCTAACACATCCTAATTTTCCTCGTCGGCTTCGTTTACTGTCGCCGTGCCAACCTTGGCATTCATGCCACCATTCTCGCGTTGCCGAGCCGCTAAAACGTGACTCTGCCACCCGACACCAGTGTCGTTAGCTACCGAGGCCGCTCTGTGCCAATGTACATACACGACCTTTAGGGACGACTCTGATGTGAATGACTGATATCGCAGCAGCTTGGGAACCGTCGCATGGCTCTGATGCTTATTTTAGTTGCTTTGCTTATTTGTTGAGACACGCAGTGTATTATCAGACTCAGAGCAGCGAAACCGTGCAACGCGGACCACGGAAGCTGTCGTTTTTGGGCAAAATTTCTACAAACAGATGGTCGTCAGCTTGTAGCGGGGCCAATAACAGTGGCCGTGTGGGTTGTTTTGTGTCTAAGGCTTAGTTGACGGAGAGGGCATCGATTTAATTACGGTGCTGTTTGATGGTGTTCCCAGTGACCATTCGCATGCCGTTGGCCGTCGCCTGATAGCTGGTTCGTGTTTCGGTAGCGGTAGAACATCCTGCGGTGTGTCGAATCATTTAGGAAAGTTATCAGCATCGTGTTGGCTACATTCAGACTGTACGTTTTGTGGGCGAGGGACCAAGTTCGGAAATCAATTAGAAAACCGAAGCATTTGAGTCTGAATTGGAATGAAGGGGTTAATGGGTTGGCTCTTGGTGTTGTGATGCGGAAAACACGCAAAGTAATGACTTTTGAGTCTTGTAGGGTATTGCTGGAACAATCCCTAGACCTGTGTCATGGATACTTTTTCTTAGTTAACCTCTACCTGAGCTATGATTGTCTTGTATAATGAATTTTGAGTTAGGCTTTTTAACGGGTTGAGCAGAAATTAGGCACTGCATTAGTCTTCTCAGTATCGACACCGGTTAACATGTATTTTCAAGTCATTTTTAAAGAATGCAGCATTCTGTAAAATCCGTTATTCATTCAGTCGACATGTTTCTTGTTATTCTAACGGCGACATTGAATAGATTATATAATAGTCAGGGTATTTTTGATGGAACACCTGCTCCATTGTTTTATTGTTTATTCTCAGTCAGTCCTTAAAAAAGGCTGTGTTCCGTTCTGTTTTATTCTGCTCAGGGCCCGACATTTCAGCGGGCTGCTCCGTCCCCAATATCTGACATTGCGTCGGTCCTATTGTGTTGTGCACTCAGTGCAGAGTACCTATTTACTCTCACCCCCATTTTGTCGACTGTTGGCTCAACAATAACATTGCTGGCGTTGGTGATACCAAATTCAGTCCCTTCCCGTCAGCGGCTACATTTATAGCAATGGTCTTGGTCACCCGGGTTCCCCGGTAAAAGGGTACTCTCGGCACATACCTGTTCATCGGTGGCCCAGTGAAAATGTCGCTCTTATTGGCCAATGACCAATTTTGACACTGTTGAAAGTTACGTCAATCATTGTCAGCTTCCGGGCTGAAAAATGCAGCTAATTTTCACTTGTTTTGGAAACCCGCTTTGCCATGTCTCGCTTTGATGCACAGACATCAAAGAAAGCAAATCCCTTCTAAATTTTGGCCTTTCACTCATGATAAATGGGGCCTTATAAGCTAGCGATGGGCATCATTTACATGTCATGCTATCAGTCATGAGGACCCCCAAGGGAGTAAAAAATACATTGCATGCGCCGTGCGTAGCAATGCGGATCTGTTCGAAGCAGCCGTTGCTTGGCATGATACTGCACATCGTATATTGTCCGCTAATAGAACGTTTAGGAACATTTACTGAATGGATTCCAAATGCCAGATTGCAGACATGCTATGCCGCTGATATGCCATATCAATCTCGTGACTGAGTCACGTCTATTACCGTGAATTGCATTCTGTCATGCTGGATCAAATGCACTCCAAAATTTATAGCTGCCAATAGCTGAGGTCATTTGATGTTAAGACATACTCGGGGCGTACGAAATGCGGCCCCAGACGGATATTCCACTTTAGAGGTCGGAAGATGTATGCTAATGGCATTAACGAATTCTGTGTGAGGCGAGTTTTACGTGCACTAAATGTGAATCACGTGTTGGGAGCAATGCTGCCAGAGAAGCTAATGCGACATCCTGTCATGGATGGCGCATAACTTTGAATAATCTCCACTTACGCTCAAGATATATGATCAAGCGTCAGGAATGATTTAGTTCGGGTTATGAATGTTTCAGTTCGAACATTAGGGATTCTGTTGTCTGAAAGACGTCGTTGCGCAATGGGAGATTAAAATCGCACTTGTAATTTTGTCGTCAAAGGAAAGACGTTCAGTGGAAATTTTCGACGTAATGGAACTTATAAATGCAAGCGTTTTTTTAACTAACGTAGTCTGACCATCCGTTCGTCCCTCTGTGCCGACAGCTGGATATTCTGAGCATCGCATCGCTGAAGCGGCGGCTGCGGGTGATCGGCAGCGTCCTGAATCGCCTCGCCCAGCCGCCGGCCAACCCAGCCTGACTGCCAGCCGACGCCCTCGGAGTCGCAGATGACCTCCGGGGCGACCTCTATAATATCGAGCGACAGCAGCGCCACCTATGCCGCCGCTCGCCATGACCCGTACGCGCGAGCCCACTGTGATCGATGTCCTGCCGCCTGGTGCGGATGACGCGCCGGCGCCCCCCGGACCCGAGTGAGGTCCTCTCCAGACGCGAATACGCCAGTGCGTATTGGCGCGATCTACAAATAATGTACTCGTTTGTCAGGTTGATAGTGCGTGACAGCTGAGCTGTGTTTCCGAGCTTCGTGAGCTCGCCTTCCTTTCATTCATGTGTTGTATGTGTTTGTATGGCAACTCTAGGATTCGCGGGACGTCTCATGACTCGCTACTTGTCCTCATATTTGTGAACAAATATAATTTGTTTTTGACACGGCCCAGCCTCTATGAAGTTCGGCGCGACTCCACTGAAAGCATCTGAATCTCGCGATTTCACAGCAAGGTGCACTCCCGATGGCAGTGTCTCCAACACTCAGATGACTGCGCTTGTGATAAAGCTCGACAAAAACAATAGACACTAGACTTGTCATCTGTGCCTGTGATGAAGCTCGACACTGCACACTCGACTCACGAGACGTTCGGAAAGAAATACACGCTGCATACAGTTCACTGTATTCAATACAAGTACTTGGCGCCCAATATAACGATTCAGTCAGTCTACCAAAGTCCAGAATTACAGTGCTATTACGTTTGATGGGCGTGGAAAGATCAATAACAGCATATTCTATAGCATACACAGATATCATGTCCCTTTATCCCCATTTTCTCACCAGGTGATGCGTTCAAAAGACGAGCGCAGCACTAGAGATACAATCCAGCAAAAACCCCGCACGACACTAAAAGATTTGTCTGATATAGCGCTCCTCGAACGCTGTCTCAGAAGCCAAGCACAATCGCATTTCAATGTAAAAAATAGGGTCGCGCGGCGGCGGCGCTGTGGCACGGCCGCGCGGGTCCGCTCGTGGTGCGTGAGGCCCACACCGTCCCGACGAGTGTCAGTGCTCGGACGGAGTTCAGCGCGGCGCCGACCGGCCTGTGGGGGCGGCCCCGGGACCCTCGGATACCGGGGAGCGGCGCGGGAGCCGCGGCTGGTCGGGGCGCGTCCCGGAGCGGCCGGAGCCGGAGCCGGAGCAGGCGAGCACGGACGGGAGCCGGCGCCTCTCAGTCCATCTCCGCGTCAGTGTTTGGAAGTTCACACTGCAGGGCAGAGGGAGGGCGACACGTGAGGTGAAAACACGCATTGACGGGGATCGCAGCTCATCTAGGTGAATGGAACGGTTCTGGGTGAAAAGTTGAAGAAGGCAATGGAAAGATGTCCAGGCATTATATCGCGTGATGAAGCGACACGGAAGGAACTCGATAAAACCACTGTATGTTGATACTATGTGTCACTAAGGCAAGCAAGTGAAAGAGCAACACTCCCAAAATCAAATGAAGCGAGAACTAAATCATCTTAAATCTTACTGCCGTTCAAAGTCAAAAACGCATAACTAACAATTTTGGCAAAATTTGGTTTTTTATACTATTCGATTCCTATTCCTCTCTATGAGCTACACATTGACATGCTCATATCAATATTGAAGTCTATACGTCATTTAATAACTAAAATATTTCATATATAAGTTTGGAAAAAGCACACACAACACAATTAGGCAGGCATCCACAGAGGCAAAAACACATAACTTTTACATATCTACTCCCTGCTGGCAATCGTCTGGATTAAATAATCCTCCTTCCAAAACAAAAACGCATATCTGTTGCAGATATGCGTATTGTTGGTCTCCATGTGCAATAATGTCTTGGCATTCCAAGACAAAAACGCATATCTGTGTAGATACGCGTTTTTGGCTTGGTAAACAGTGAACGAGCAACGTAGTTGTGCGTTTTTGTCGTGGTGGAGCGATTCTCAATTATGTTCATTCGACGAACTTTGCAGATATGCGTTTTTGACCGCTTCTCCTGAGCGGAGGTATCGTAGTGAAACACGTGATTCTTTTTTCGATGAGTGAATCTGCCGTGAAAAAGGAAAGGCTCGTAACTCATAACCATGGGCGGCGCCACCGGGGGGGACGGGGGGGACAGGTCCCCCGCTATCGAAAGTTAGGGGGGTACAGTACCCCCCTATCGGCGAGGCCCGTTCAATAGTTGATAATAATGCATTATAGAGCTATCCGTGGCATTTAATGCATCGTTGGTTAATCAAGGCAGGTTCTGAATAAAGATTGCTGTTGGAATGCATCGCAGGGGTCCTGGCCATCTGCAAAAGGTGTGGAGCTGTGATGTCTGTAGTTATAAGGTGATCGGCAGGGCCTCGGGGATCGTGCCCCCTTTTTGGGGCGCCAGGCAGGGTTATTACTTATTACCTCCCCACCCCACTGCCAGGCCCCATTGCCGATAAAACCAAGCTGAAATTCCATTGATTTCCGTTACTATATGAAAATTTTCCATTCCTAATGAGTCAAATTCAAGCATGGCAGTTCTACCACAGGAACCATTTGAAATCTATGCCATTTAACCCCAGCACTTGTGGGGAGAAGTGTTCGGATAGATCACAGGCAGGACCAAAAAAGCACGCAGTAGCCCAAGACCTTATAATTGGATATAGCATCGGCTCCCTCTCGTCAAGGGGTTCGATAGCACTCGTTTTTTTTTCTGCAAAACTAAGTTCGGTCGGCGGCCGAACGGCTGGGGGTCTAATCGAGCCCCCCATCCCTCCCCTTCTTACGTCAGCGGCTGTGAAAATGCCATTACCAGCTGTTGAAACATGGCAGTTGCTTTTGCATGAGTGCACGAAAGGGTTTTAGGTCCGTGATACGTGAAAGGTTCTACATGAAAATTGAGATACACCAGCTTATCAAATTGTGCTCACTGTGGTGCGCTCGGTTTTACCTTGACTAGTCTTTGAATTCTGGGGTGAAACAGACCAGTCAAGAAACCTGTTCCATAAGGAGAGCCACTAATGCTTAAGAGATGTGGGATGAGGTTTCCAGAGACCTTCATTACCTCCCAAAGGGGGTGCCCCGCCATTTGCCAATCCCTGCTGTAGTTGTTACGATTGGAGGGTGAATATGAGAACGATGCAGGTCGTGCCAGCTCGATCATGACGAACACAATGGTGCCGACATCACAGCTCTACTGCCATTTTTGACGAAGTTAATCAACAAGGACCGGAATCCTACCCTGGGGCATTTCACCTGCAGAGGTCGCCGGACCTGAGACCCTTTCACTCAATTTTTTCAACGGTGCATGCGCTCGTTTTTCCCGCGAAGCTCTTGGCAAGTAAAATCCATCAGAAAGTGTGATCTAATAACGGTTGGTGACCTTCCATGACCTAGCATGGCCTTTTGAGTGACCACCGATGACATGACCACTGACGGCTAGCCATTAGCTGCACCCTGCCCGTTGCATATGGATCAGGTGGTGATGTCATGATTCTGAAATTATATTGCAGTTTTGGCGCACTTGTCAGAGCAGAAGACATTCCCACTTTTCCTCCATGACTATGTATATGATGGTGAAGCCCTGAAGCTGACCAGACGTAAGATCGAAAATTTGAAAGTACGAAATGTAAGAATAGCTGGCACTGCTACTTATGCCTAAGCAATTCGCAGCTTGTAGGAAACCAGCTTTGAGTTGGCAAGACTGCAAATTTTGATTTAGAGGGAAGGATGCTTGAAAAGGTGATCGATCTTTTTTTGCATACACGATCAGTATCTACTTTTGGGATTTTCGATTTTCGGTCCCCGTCCCCCCCTATCGAAAACCCGTGGCGCCGCCCCTGCTCATAACCAATATCATCTGCGAATTCAAGTTCTCTGTTCTTGTATCAATGGATTCCAATGAGTACAATGAGATGATAACATTTCTTTATCATTCTCATGTTTTCACTCCCAAGGGCGCACACAAGGGGGGGGGGGGGCACACGGGCCCGTGCCCCCCCCCCATTCCATTCGAGTCGGGGGCCCCTAATCAATAGACCGCCGAAGACCGTGTAAAAATGAGATGAAATAAAGTTTGAAAAGACCGGGAGGGCCCATCTCGTTCCCCAGCAGTCTCATGAGTCCATAAAATGCCCAGTAGCGCAGCCAGGATTATTGTGGTGAAATTGCAATGGCCCTCAAAAGGCCTCAAAGGGCCCTCGGATGGCGTGACAGGGTCCTCGGATGGTCTCTAGGGCCATCAGTTAGCGTCAAATGGCCCTCATCTGGTGTCAAAGGGCCCTCAGATGGCCTCAAAGGGTCCTCAATTAGCGTCAAAGGGCCTCATCTGGTGTCAAAGGGCCCTCAGATGGTGTCAATGGGCCCTCAGATGGTGTCAATGGGCCCTCAGAGTCAGATGGCCTCAAGGGCCCCCAGATGACCTCAAAGGCCTTTCAAATGGCCTCAAAGGGCCCTCACTAACGTCAAACGGACCTCAGAAGGCCTTCAAGGGCGTCAAAGGGCCCTAAGATGGCGTCAGAGGGCCCTGAGCTCGCGTCAAACGGCTCTCCGAAGGCCTTAAAGGGTCCTTAGCTGATGTCAGAGGGCCCTCAGCTGGCGCCAAATGGCCATCAGAAGGCCTCAAACGGTCGTCAGCTGGAGTCCAACGGTCCTCAGCTGGCGTCAAGCGGCCCTCAAAAAGCCTCAAGGGGTCCTTAGAAGGCCTCAAGGGGCCCTCAGAAGGCTTTAAAGGGCGTCAAAGGGCCCTGAGCTAGCATCAGAGGGCTCCAGCTGTTGTCAGAGGGCCCTGAGCTCGCGTCAAACTTAAAGAGCCCTTAGCTGGTGTCAGAGGGCCCCCAGTTTGTGTCAGCGGACCCTCAATTGGCGTCTAATGGCCATCAAAAGGCCCCAAACGGTCCTCAGCTGACGTCAAGAGGCCCTCAAAAGGCCTCAAAGGCCCCTCGGCTGCTCAAATGGCCCTTAGAAGGCTTCAAAGGGAACTCAGAGACGTCAAACGGCCCTCAAGAGACCTTAAACGGCCCTCAAAAGTAAAAAGGCTTAAAAGGGCCCTCTGCTGGTGGCAAAGGGCTCGCACCTGACGTCAATAACAGCCTTGTCAAAAACGGACCTGAGAGACCTTGCCGGCCCCTGGTTATCTGAGGGACTCCTACAGTTACCTAAGAGGCCTCCGTTTACTGAGGGGGCCCTAGTTATTTAAGGGGTCCCTGGTTACTTGAGGGGCCCCTGGGTACCAGAGGTTCCCCTGGTCACCTGGTGGGCCCCTGATCAATTGAAAACCCCTGGTCATCTGAGAGGCCCCTGATTACCTGAAAGGTTCCTGATCACTTGTATTCAGTGGTATAGCCAGGAAGCGAGGGACCGGATACGTGCCCGTTCTCGGGTTTAGAGTTCCTTCGAACCCGAGGGACCCTGCGGCGTCAGTTGGTGGCAGATGGTTCGTGCTAGCCGTGCTTCAACTCGGAAAAACACCACAGGACTAGTGAGAGCACGTAATTGGCTCCTATGTTGCCTCACTTACTTATCTCCATAAAGGCCCAATGCCGGTTTATGAGAGACCTTGCCGGCCTCTGATGGCCCTTGTAACGGCCAATGAGGGATCAGCTGCAATGGCTCCACATCCATCTGTGATAGCCCCACGGCCCACAACAATGTTTCTAAAAGCCACCACAACGGCACCTGCGTAGCTCCTCAGTCCTCACGCCACCTCCAAGGGACCCACACCAGCGCATCACCAGGGCCTACATCGGCGACTCTGAGGGCCACGTACCAGTGCCTCTGAGGGCCTCTTACCACCCTCTGAGTGTCTTTGCCAGCCTATGAACGGCCACTTTCCACTTGCAGGCCACTTTACACGGCCACACACATGCCAGTGATGGCCCCACCAGTGTCTCTAAGCCCTGAGACCCCGCAACGGCGCCTGTGAGGACCCAACACCAACGCATCTGACGGCCTTTCACTGGCACCTCTGAGCGCGCCACACACCGGTGACTCTGAGGACGGTGACCCAGAGGAGCTCGCTCGCTTCTCTCGCTCGTAAAATACTATGCACATTAGACATGAGTGTACATTAGGGACACTCCTCGGGCATAAATGATACCTTTACTTGCCAATTTTCCACATTTTCTCAGGGCAAAGACCGTTTTAAAGAGGCCCGTCTGCCAGTGGGACTAGACCCACCATGCCCCCTCCCCCCTTCCCATCGAAAGGTCCTGGATACGTCCTTGCTTGGGCTGACCCCGGGCGCCCGGATGACTCGCG